GAGCCCCTCAAAGGCGGCTCCCACCACCCAGATTTTTTTTTTTTTTTTTGGTGGTACTGGGGATTGAACTCAGGACCCTGTGCTTGCCAGGCAAGCACTTATTCTACTCAGCTATCTCCCCTGCTCCAGACCTTTTTTAAAAAATTGAAGCAGAGTTTCCCTAAGTTGCTCAGGTTGGGCTCAAACTTGGGATCTTCCTGCCTCAGCCCCCCAAAGTGCTGAGACTGCAGGTATGTGCCACCATGGTAGCATTGGCTTCTCTTTTAAGAAGTAGTATTCTCCCTTCTGCTCCAGCCAACACTCTATTTAAAAATCCCTGCTTTGATTCTAGTCATTTATTGTTGCCAGATCAGAAGTGTCCATTTTTGGTGTAAGAAGCCAACTTTGACCTTTTCTTGTTTAAATTTGGATCAAATACAGGTATTATAACACTGATCTTCTGCAACATGTGCCAGTGTGCGTCAGGGGTTGGTTAGCATGCTTGGAATGCTCTGAAGGGCTGAGGACATAGCTCATTAGTGTGGTGTGTTGAGCATGTGTCAGGCTCTGGGTTAAATCCACAGCTCCAAGAAACAAAAACACAAACAACAAACAAAAGAAACAAAAACAATAAAACATTGTAGAACCATTGGTAATATTTGTTCCCAAAATTTTGTTATCTGAAACATAAACTCTGTTTTCACTAGTTATAACTCTTCTTTGCTGCTGCCTTCCAGCTTCTCACAACCAATCTACTTAAATTTTTTTTTTTTTCAGAACAGGGATTGAACTCAGGCCCTTGTGTTTGCCAGGCAAGCACATATCCTACTGAGCCATCTCCCCAGCCCTCCAATCTACTTTCTATAGCCATGAATCTGCCTTCTGCATAGGTGTCTTTTTTCCTTTTTTTTTTTTTTTTGAGACAGGGTCTCATATGTGGTAGATTGGTCTTGAACTCACTATGTAGCCCAACCTGACCTTGAACTCCAAGTGATCCTCTTGCCTTAGCCTCCTGAGTGCTGGAACTACAGTCGCACATCACCATGACCAGCACTGCATGAGTTTCGTGTAAGTATGGTCATAGAACATTCACATGTGCTGTACCATGTATTCAGAATACCATTCCTTTTTCCACTGAGGGATGTGACTCCACTGTAGGGAGAGATCACATTTTATTTAGCATTATCTATTGCTGAGTAGTTGGGGTGTTTCCACTCTTTGGCCCTTGTGAATAATGTTAATTCTTTTAGTGCTGGTATGCTAGAAGAGTTGTTGGGTCTCATGAGAAGTCTACCTTTAACATTCTGTGGGCAAAACAACAGTTTTGCATGGCAGCTGTGCTATGACCCAATCCTGTCAGCAATGTACGGGAGTTCTGACTGATCCTTCCTCTTGTCCTTTCCAACATTTATTATTTTCATTTTGAATGCTAGCCCATTTTGTGGGTATAGGTAGTATCTCATGGTGATTATGACATTTTTTTCCCTGATGACTAATGAAGTGGAGTATCTTTGTACATATCTGATGGCCATTTGTACTTCTTTTTTTTGTACCAGGGATTGAACTCAGGACCCTGCACTTGCCAGGCAGGTGCTTATGCCACGGAGATACCTCCCTGGCCCCTGCACATCTTTCTTTGAGAAATGCCTAACAAATCCTTTACCCACTTTGACAGGTGGGAATACTGACCACTATCCTAATGAGAAACCTTTACCCACACTTTGGAATTGGGTTGTTTGGCCTTTTGGTTTGTATGAAGTGTTTTTGTTTTGTTTGTTTTTGTTTTTTTGATCTTTTTGATACAGGGTCTCATTGTGAAGTTCACGTTGAGCCTTCAGCTCACTTTACAGTTCAGGTTTGTCTCAAACTTGCAATGATCCTCTTGCCTTAGCCTCCTGAGTACTGGGATTACAAGCATGCTCAACTGGCTTTTTAGTTTGTAGTTCTTTATATATGCTAGATATTAAGCCCTGCAAGACTCAAGATTTGCAAAGACTTCTTCCATGCTGTGAGCTGTCCTTTCATTCATTTAATGGTACTATTTGATGTACAGAAGTTTTCAGTCAAATTTATCTATTCTTTTATTGCCTACATCTTTGGTGTCCTTCTTAATCATGAGCTCCAGGCCCTGCACAGTGAGTTCAAGGATGGCCTGCATAGTGAGATCCTATAGTGAGATCCTACAAACAAAACAAGACAAAACACAACAACAAGATGTGTTTTATGGCATCTTTGACTTTTGAAAGCAGCAGACTCAGGACCAACCTAAGAGTGAATTCATACTGTATTGGGCTTGGAACTGGAGACTAGGAAGAGAAAGATGTTCAATGACTTAAGAACTTTGCTAGGAAGAAGATAAAATCAGAACAAAGGAAAGGCAGAGGGTGGTTTCTGAAAGGTGGCCTGAGGTGTGTTTGCTATCGGGAACCTGGTAAGTAGGATTATCTTGGCTATGAAGAGTCATGTGGGCCCCTGGTTCAGGTGACAAAGGGTCCTGTAGTGCCTGGCTCAGAGTATCATTTTAGTGTAGAGACTAGTGGTTTCCTAGCCTACTTTTTCCCCTTTGCACATAGGCCATAACTATGGATTTCCAGACTCCCTTGCAGCTAGCCACAGCCACTTGATGCTGTTGGTTTAGTAGTAGAATGACGGCATAACTTTCAGGTCAGGATTAAAGGGAAGGAGAATGTCCTCCTTTTCCACTCTCTCTCCTTGCTGCTAAAGATTTGGAACTTGATAGTGTAGCAGAAAATGCTCCTCCTCCAACCAGCTAATAGTTGCCCAGGTAATAGTTTTTGTTCCAGATCCAGTTGCTCCTGTCCCTTAGAAATGGCTCATCACTATGATATACATTGTATAAAGCAATCTCCAATTGACATGTCATTTGGCCTGTATACTTCCTGCTTTCTTATCTCATATAAGCCCTAGCCCACTAGAGATCAGTGCCCATTACCATAAATAAATCGGCCTCCAAGTCATGGGTATCATTTCGGTGTTTCTGCTTGCCTCTGCAATAGAAAGTGTGTGTGCGTGAGGTGGGATTGACAGAACCACACAGATGGGATATGGGTCCTCTGTGGGTGGGAAGCCAGCCCAGATGTTAATATCCCAGATGTTATGATTTGTATATAGGTGTCCCCCAAAGCCTCATGCAGTCTTGGGGCAGCTTCTGGAGTTTGTGATTGATGGCTTTGGGTGTGAATGTTTACCTGCCCTGGGGCAGATAATTTGCATTACAATGTTAGGTGGAAAGAGAAGCTAGATGTTTGAGCTGCTTCCACTCCTTTTGTGTTCTTGCTCTTTCCCACAGCCATGAAAAGTTGCTTTCTGCTATGTGCTGCTCTGCCCTGGACCTAGCTGAATACGGACTAAAACCTCCAGTAACTGTGAGCTAAATAAACCTTTCCTTCTTTCATTTTGAGTGTTGAGTATTTGTCCCAGCAACTAGGGAAGAGTAACTAAGACACCAGGCTAGTCTCAAACTTGTGGTGATTCTCCTGCCTTGGCCTTCCTAGTGCTGGGATAAGTATATACTTGGCCATTCTTACCTTTAGAGTGTTGTAGTTTGGGGTTTTGTAAGGGGGAACAATACAATACAGGACACATTTTATAAGATTATTTTATAATGAATCACCAAAAGAATCATACACAAAGAGTGCAGGAAATCTGTCCACATACTAAATACTAAAGACTCCAGCTGAGGGCCTGGATCCTAATTTCCTGTATGACTCCAGATGAAGACCTAGCGCTCATAACAATGTGTTCCACAAATCCAAATGGAGGCCTAGAGCCCATGATAATGTCTCATGCAGGCTCACTTCACAGATCTGCACTGGGAAGGCTCAAAGGTCAGGGTGGAAGCTAGAAAGTCTGCGCCAGCAGGATGAAGGATCTGTGCTAGCAGACTGAGGGATCTGAACTGGAGCTAGGAAGCAACATTCAACGTAAGAACCAGAGCTCCTTTGAAAAGAACCACAACCAAGGTGGGGCGGGGGAAGAGAACAGCTCCATAAACAAAATCAGGGCAAAGGCAGCTGGAGTGGGCTGCACACTAGAGGGTGGAAGTCTCCTCTGTCCTTTCCTGTAGGTCTCCCCTGCCTTTTATTGCCATATGTCCTGGACACTGACTCTCCTCTCTGCGACCCAGCACAGCATTTTAGCACAGTGCTTTGTGTCACATGTTTGTATGATTTATGACCTTGGTAAAATGAGAATTCTAGGCCAGATTTATGATCTAATTATTCCTTACCAGCAAAAATGAAGGCTCTGGTGGGAAGGTCCTGGAGCCGCATTCCTACCTGCTCAGCTCCCCTGCTCCTCCGACACCAGCAACAAAAGGAATCTACAACTGGGATTCTGAAAGCTCTGGACCAAGTGGTTCAGGGATGTCCTTAGGCTCTACAATCCTCACTCTCCTTCCATTTTCTGGCTGGGAAGATCCTTCTCTTTGTACCAAAAAAGACAAAGCTTGGGGCTTACAATAACTGAATTTTTTTTTTTTTTTTTTACTCTCTAATGGATAATACATAGATAATTCCACAGAATACCTCACTTTGACCAAGAGTTGGGCAAAGGATTTCTTCTAGTCTAAGAGTAAATCAGAAATAAATCAATGAGCTGAGGTGGTGATAAACGCCTGTAATTCCAATACTTGCAAGGCTGGGGCTGGAGGATCTCCCCAGAATGAAGTCCAGCCTGGACTACATAATGAGAGCTTATTTCAAACAGACAAAAAAACCAACAACTAAAGTCAAAGCTCAAGCTCTGAGCCTCAGTACCTCCATCTTCAAAACGGAGGCAGTTAAGTTGTATTGACGTCTACACGTGTTAAGTAACAGAAAGGCTGGCACCTTTAAGAACCCGCACCGTCGCCTCAGGTCGGGGCCTCAGGCCACATTTAATTCTGCGGTCCTTCTGAGCTCTTTCCCCGCAGGAAGCGCCTGCTGTGGGACAGCCAACCCCAGACACAGACGGAAGTGAGTGGGCGGGACCCTGCCTCAGCTATGATGGGTGCAGCCGCAAGCCAATGGAGAGAGAGGTATTCCCTATTCCGCCAATGGAGGGCCAACAGAGGCGGGACTTTGTGTAACGCCCTAGTAACGGCCGCGTGGTAACCCTGGTGCTCTGCGCGCGGTACTGGCTCCCGGTTTTCTACGCGGGGTTGGGCTCCCTGTGTCTGTAAAATGAAGATAGAGGAAGTGAAGAGCACCACGAAGACGCAGCGGATCGCCTCCCACAGCCATGTGAAGGGGCTGGGGCTGGACGAAAGCGGCCTGGCTAAGCAGGCGGCCTCGGGGCTCGTGGGCCAGGAGAACGCGAGAGAGGTGTGGCCGCGACCCGAAGGGGTTGGCAGCGCGCGCGGGCGGGTTGCGTGCTGGGGTCTCCGCCTCTGAGTTCTCGGGGCTATGCAGACGGCGGCAGGGCGAGTCGGGCTGCCCTCGAGGGCTGGGACCACTGGGGACCGCTCCGCGAGAGTCCTCACTGATGGAGCCTCCGGGGTGAAAGGTACAGGGTATTCCCGTTCTCCAGATCCTATATTCCAGCGTGGTGAAAGATAGCCAGTAAGCACTGCCATACCTGCAAACGATTGTTTTATCTCGGAGTAGGTCGTTTCCTATAGGCCCTTGTCGCCATGGTGAAGGAGTTGGACTTCATTATGAATGCAGTGGCAGGATGTGGGGTTATTGAGTAGAGAACTGACTAAGCTGCAGACGTTGACTTTGGTTTTCAGGGCCTGGGAGCGGAGAGAGAAGTAGGAGTTAGGGAGGGGCACAATCTATAGTGAAGTCTGCCTCTGTAGTGTGGCCAAGTCCCTCACCCACTTTATTACTTTTTTTGCAGGTGAAAAAATTGAGGGTGAAAGAGATTACTCCCCCATCACTTGCCACTCGGTGCATGTTGATAAAGCTGCGATTTGCACTCACATACATTTCCGACCCCCACATCTGCTCTAGATGATATACAGCCAAAGGAGCTTGCCACACTTTGGTCTCAGCCATGGTCCTTGGCCCCTGGAGAGGCCTACTAGCTACAGGGCCCTGCATTTAATACGAGTTTTAAGTCCATTGCTTATGAGTCTCTTGCTAACAGAAAGGACAAAAAGAGAAGCCTCTTTTAGTGGAGTGGGGGATGTTGAGACAAGGTCTTTTTTTGTTTTGTTTTTTTTTTTTTTTTGGTGGTACTGGGGATCAAACTTGGGACCAGGACCTTGTGTATGCCAGACAGGTACTTATGCTGCTCAGCTGTTTCTCCGGCCTGACAAGGTCTTGCTGTGTAGTTCATATTGGTCTTGAACTCACTATGACAAACTCTTTTTTTTTTTCTTTCTTTCTTTTTTTTTTTTTTCTGGTGGTACTGGGGATCAAACTTGGGACCAGGACCTTGTGTATGCCAGACAGGTACTTATGCTGCTCAGCTGTTTCTCCGGCCTGACAAGGTCTTGCTGTGTAGTTCATATTGGTCTTGAACTCACTATGACAAACTCTTTTTTTTTTCTTTCTTTCTTTCTTTTTTTTTTTTTTCTGGTGGAACTGGGGATTGAACTCAGGCCCTTGAGCTTGCCAGGCAAGTGCTTATTCTACTGTTCCATCTCCTTGGCCCCTTGACCTCACTGTGTAGCCCAGGTGCACATTTAACTCACAGTGATTCTCCTGTCTCAGCCTACCAAGTGTAGGGATTAGAGGTGTGTGCCATCACACCTGGCTGACTATTTCCATTGTCTTGTTTTTCATATCTCATCTAATTGCCCCTCCTCTACTTTTGTATAACTTTTCAGGCATCTACAAAATTGAAGTGCTCTTTTTTTAAATTTGGATTTTTGAGTTAGAATCTCAGTATAATTTAGACTGGCTTTGAACTCACTATGTAGCCCAGGCTGGTGTTGAAGTGATTCTCTTCCTAGCCTCCCATATGTCTGGCACTTTTATAATAAATATGCATAGATCTGAATTTTAGAGTGAATATTTTTTACTGTGTGGCTTTATCATAACTTCATCTATCCTTCTCTACTTCACGTTCACATTTTACATCAGCATACATTAGTCCTAAATCCTTTGGTATGTATGTCACTACTATGCACTCCTGTATCCAGACAAGTAGTTATAATTTACAGAGGTTAGGTAACTTGGTCTGAGGTCGTTTCATCTGGTAAGTGGGAGAGCCAATGTTTAGACTCTAGTCTTCAGGACTTCATTCTCTTTGGTTCTGCATGCCTCTGACCCACCTCTGCTAAAAGGTTCTAAAAGGTTCTTGTATGACAGTTCACATGAGCAGCCTCTGTGCTACTCACTACCCTTATCTGAAAAATAAGGGTGTTAAGAGTTGGTGGTCTTACAGGCCCTGCTAGTTCTGTCACAATTTATAACATATCACTGGAGAGAAGTTAGTGTGAACTGAAGAATGAATGGAAGAGTGCTCAGTTGGCAAATCCAAGTACATATCCACATTTGAGAAAGGCTTTTCCCTTTTTGGAGTAGATAGCTCCAACACAGAGGATCACTGGAGAGACTGCAGAGGGTATTTTTTTATCTGGAAAAGTCTCAGAGGTGCTTTTCAGGGCTCTGTCTTTGCTAGATGAAGCAGAAATGGAACAAAACACCAACTCATTGCGTGAGCATATGGTTTTAGTGGGCCCTTTGTGGAAACAAGGTGGGGACAGGATGGAGAAGATGCAACACCTTCACAGGATCTTCTGTTCATTATGGTGATAGCTCTGTGGCCTGGATTCCCATACAGAAAAATACCTTTCACATTGTCACACATTCAGTTATTAACAGTCTAACAAATCTTGAGTTAGGTAGTCATGGGCTAGAAGTGCTCAGTAAATACGATTGTCTCAGTCTTCTTTGTGGCCCGTTATTATTATTATTTTTTTGCAATACCGGGGATTGAACTAGGGACCTTGTGCTCGCCTGGCAGGCGTTTATGCTGCTGGGCTACATCTGTGGCTCTTATGGTCTACTGTTCTATGATATATGAAGACTGGTGACTAATTTGTGGATCTGAGGTGTGTGTATTTATGCATATGTACTGTAACTGGCTTAATAATGAGAATAGATTACAAATATATAGCAGATGACCAAGAAATTGAAGCCTGAGGATTCAGTTTGGTGCTTGGTGATTCTGCTGGTGGCATGGATTTAACCTTATAGTGAAACCTGGTTTACAGGTTTCACTAATGGCCAAGTGTAGTCTCAGGTTTTTCTCTCTTCCTTTCCCTCTTAACCCCTCCCTTCTTTCTCCTCCCCTCTTACTTTTTCTCCTTTTCCTCCTCTTCCTTCTCTTCCTCCTCCTCCTCTTTGGCAATATTGTGTATTTTTAAATGTAGGACTTTTGGATTGAGCTATATTGCCAGATCTTTGTTTTTGAGACAAGGTCTCACCAAGTTGCCCAGGCTAGGCTTAACCTCATAGTCCTCCTGCCTTAGCCTCCCAGAGTGCTGTGATTATAGGTGTGTGTCACTATGCCAGGCTATCATTGGTTCTTTTTTTTTTTTTTTTTTCCACCTAGTACCAGGAATTGAACTCAAGGTATTGCATTGGCCAGGCAGGCGCTTGTGTCACTGAGCTATATCCCAGGTCCTACCATTGGTTCTTAAGCCTTAGGAATCTGATGAAAGCTCTGGGTCTTTTCCCTGTAGAAATGTATATATGAATACATACACAGTTTTGTTTCTGATTTCAGGAGACTTGTGGATCCCCCACCTCTTCCTTTTTTTAAAAAAAAAAAAACAAAAAAAAAAAAACCAGGGTCTCACTACAGAGTTCAGGCTGGGCTTGAACATTGGAGCCCAAGTTGGCTTCCAACTCATGTTGATCCTCCTGCTTCAGCCTTCTGGGATTATAGGCATGTGCTGCCACACCTAACTTGGTGATCTGTTTTCTAAAGAGCCAGGATGATTTTTTTTTTTTTTTTGTATTTTAGGCAAGGGTCTACAGGGTATTCAGGGTCTCACTGCTAGACCAGAGTCATAGTGATCCGACTGTTCACAGCCTCCCAAGAGCTGGGATTACGGGCATGTGCCACCATGCCCAGTCTCAATCACTGTCTCATTGCACCCTAGGGGCAGGGCCAGCAAGGCAGGCCTGGGGATTGAACCCCCAGCCCCTGTGCCTGCTTGCAGGTGCTTTAATCCACTGAGCTATTTGGCTGGCCCTTGTTTATCTTTTTAAAATTTATTTTTTGTAATGCTGGGGATGGAACCTGGGGCCTGTGTAATACTGATCACAGCCTGAGACCCAGGATTATCTTTCAAGTGGAAGTCAGAGCGTGGTACAGTCTGACCTTTTCAGTGGCTTTCCATTCTGCAGCCTTACTCTGCCCCTGCCTACCTTTTCAGACTTATCTTTCCATTCTCTTTTCACTTTGGTTACTGCAGCCTCTTTGTCTCTTGGACATGCCAAACTCTTGCTGTTTTTGTTTTGAGACAGGGTCTTGCTATGTAGCCCAGGCTGGCCTGGCACTTATGATCCTCCTGGCTCCAGCTCCTGAGGGCTGGGATTATAGATCTGTAGCACCACATCCAGCCTTTTTGTTGTTACTGTGTGGGTTGTTCTGTTTTGTTGCAGTGCTGGGATGGAACATAAACCTCACTGATGCTCTGCCAGTGTGTAGACCGGGGGCTGAATCTCCCCCGTGAAGCATTTTAATACCAACTGATTATTTCTTTCTATTGTGTGCAGGCATGCGGTGTCATAGTAGAATTAATCAAAAGCAAGAAAATGGCTGGAAGAGCCGTCCTGTTGGCAGGACCTCCCGGAACTGGCAAGGTACTCTCTCATTTCTTCAGTTCCCCAGGAGAATGATCTCGATGTCTAAGCCAAATTGGATTCATGTCTTAACTAGTGTTGTTAAGCTGAATTAGTTATACGTGTGTTTTAAAAACTAATGTGTGGTAATACAACTGGGTGTCTGAAATCCATACTTGTAGAATTAAAATTACCCTGGCCTTCCTCCAGCAGAGAATCAGGTCCTCAGAGGGCTCTCATTGTCTCTGGGATTTGTCCTTTGGCTCCTTCAAGTCTCCTTTGCTTTGGAAATGTGTTCCTGTTGTTCTAGGTCTTCAGAAGATCTCCAGAGTGACATCTCATTTGGGCAAATAAAGTGCTAGCTTTACCCATTGCTATTTTAGCCATATAAGAGATGAGAAAGAAAAGGAAAGACTTGGTGACATGGTTTTTATTTTTAAGGGGTTTGTTGTCTTTTTAGGGAAGAAAAACAGGAAATCATGACCACACAAAATAACTCCATTGAGTGTAGCACTTGTGGGCTTGCTGACCTATAGGAATGCAGCTGGGGTCTGAGCTGAGAGATTGCAGAGGCTGGCGAAACTAGAGAATTGGGGAATGGATGATTGCCCTCAGAGCTGGAGAGACTTTAACCTTGAAGGAAGAAGAGACCTAGGCAGGATCACACTGTGGTGCACTGGGTTCTGGGATAGGAATGGCCAGATATGAGAAACACATCAGAGCTCCCAGTCTGAGCCTTGCTTGTTCCTTCAAAGCGCTCCTAGGTATAGGAGTATCAGTTTGGGCTGTGAAGAAATGGGCTTTAGAACTGGGCACACAACACCGGTCATCCCACCACTTGAGAGGCTGAGGCAGGAGATCGCTATTGAGTTTGAGGCCAGCCTGACGTACATAGCAAAATCCTGTTTGAAAAATAAAAGAAAGGATGGGGGTGTTACATTCTAGCTCAGGTTTTGACTTGCTTGTGAAACCAAAAACAGGAACACAATTCCAGTCAGGTGTGAGATGGTGTTAAATTTGAAACAGTAATTGCTAAATTGATGGTGTGACCTGCATGGGTGTCTTGCACTAGGGGATGAAGGCCTATGTTGGTATAGTGCTGACCATCGCGAGCCCCAACACCCACCTTGGCGTTGCTGTGCCTCCCCTCAGCCTCCTTCCAGGTTTCCTCTTCCTGAAGTGTGTTCCCTGGAGATCCTTTCTGAATATTGCTGATGGGAAAGTCTCAAGTTTTTTATATTTATTATGTCATCCTTGTCTTGAAAGGTAGTTGTTCTGGGTTTCTAATTCAGTTGATAGATCTTTTCTTCAATACTCTTTCAATATTATTTGGTATCTTTTGGCTTCCATCATTGCTTTTAAGCCTAATTTTAAGGATTTTACTGCGTGTGCGGCATAGACCTGTAATCTCAATGGTGGGCAAGCTGAGGCAGGAGGATCACTGCATTTGAGGCCAGCCTGAACTACATAGCAAGAGCCTGTCTAAAATAATAATAATAACTGAAAATAATTTTTTGGACGGATTTTAACTTTTCCTTGTGGATGTTTTAGAGATGTGCTAGGTATTGGTGCCCTGTCTGGGCAGGGTTTTCCTTTGTCCTGACTAAAGCAGGTGCAGTGGCATCTAGTGTTGGAGGCTGCTGTTGTCGTGCCTCTGGTGGTGAACTGCCTGGACCTAATTGGCATCCAGGCCAAAGCCAAAAAGCCTCAGGCTAGAGCTTCTCCTTTAGGCTTCTTTGTCCTTCAGCCTCTCATATTTCCTAGCTTTTCATTTTATTTTGGTTTTTTGAGACAGGGTCTCACTATGCAGACCAGGCTGGCCTTGAACTCAAGATCCTCTTGCCTTGCCTCCCAAGTGCTGGAATCACAGGCCTGTGCCACCATGTTCAGCCTGCAAATACATGATTCTTATCAATGGCTCACTCCTGATAATCTCACACTGTTCATAATGGAATACTATGATTTGGGTTTTCGAAAGGAATCTGTTCTGATGAGATTGAAAGTAAATGTCCTTGGCCTTCTTTTGTTTAACAGGCTCTCTTTTATGTGCCACTTGGCCCTCACCTGGGGTGGGGAGGCACAAAGAAATCATGACTTTGGAGATGAGAGTTTGTACACTGGCTCTGCCATTTACTAGCTTTTTGACATTGGGTGAGTAGGTACCTTGTGCGTTTCAGTTTTTTTTATTTCTTTGAGACAGGGTCTTGCTTGTAGGGCAGACTAGCCTTGAACTCTGTAGGTCAGGCTTGCCTCAAACTCTAGGTTATCCTCCTGCCTCAGCTTCTTGAGTACTGGGATCACAAGTATACACCACCATGCCCAGCTGCAGTTTCTTAATCTGTAAAATACAAAACAGATTATCAAGTTCATGGGCTGGTTGGAAGCTGAGTGAGAGCTATATGGTATTAAGTAAAAGGAATAGGTATAGTGAAAGTGTTCCATACCATAGGAGACCATATAGGCATGAAGCATTTCTTAGCCAGGTAGTTGTCATATATTAATGGAAATTTGCTCATCATCTTTGTTAGGTAGAAGGACGCAGGGATACTACTGAACTTGACATGACATTGTCATTGAGCATGGGAGCTGTGAATGGGGTTTGGGGACTGTAGAACCCAGGATGAGAAGGTGGAGGGACAAGGAAGGAAGGGGCCTGGGCAGCCCACAGCCTGGTGGGTGTCCTGTTGTTCAAGCTGTTCTTGTGCCTGTCCAGTCCTACTGTTCCTTTTTTTTTCTCTCTGAATGCAAACCCTAGATACCAAATGGGGTAGCATTTTGTGCTGCTGTGGGCCTGAGGTGCTGGTGTGAATTCTGCTACAGCAGCAGCTGCTGCCCGGAAGCCAGTGCCCACTATGGCTGGGCTTCTCCAGGGAGGCTGATGGCTACGTGCTTATGTCTTGATTCCCAGTGTTCAAAGAGTGGCTGCAGACCAAGTGTCAGAGCACGTGTAGACTATGGAGCCACGCAGGACTAGCCTACAGGCAGCTTGTGTGCTCCTGGAGGCTGGCCTGCCCATTCACACTACACTGGACAGGGGAGAAGCTGGGGTTTGCCGGATGCCCATACTTCCAGCAAAGATAGTGGCAGTCAGGACCAAACCAATTTCTGCTTCTTTCCCTGCTGGATGCTGAGCTTCACCAGCCTCTACTATCTGTCAAAACTATCACCAGAGGGGCACCAAAAAGAAAATCTAAGAGGAAGCTTTCTTGTTTCAGTTTTTATTTCTTTTTAGTTTTTAATATTTAGTGTTTTTGTTGTTGGTTTTGTTTTTGTTTTAGACAGGGCCTTACTTGTGGCCTGGGCTGGCCTTAACCTCACAGTGTTCGTCCTGCCTCAGCCTCTGGAATACTGAGGTTACAGATGTGTGCCTCCACATCCAGCTCCCCAACTCAGTTTGTAAACTCTGTCTTCAAGTTCACCTTGTTCCTGAGTGGCAAGCTGGCCCTCCTTAGCCAAGGACCTGTGAGCTTCCCTTCCTCACATTGAGGACAGGTGGAAGTGGCATCAAGGGGCCATGGCATACTCAGTCCTGTACCAACCTGAGAGCCTTTGCCTTTCATTCTTGGTATTTGACCACATGTCCATTACATCTGGTTCCATTCAGCATCTACCAGCCACAGTTACATTCCCAAACACCAATTTGTAGTTTACTGTAGCACAGGCTCAAGTGTAACTTGTTAAAACCAACCCATATCTCCAGGAGTCCTCTAACATGTCTTTCTCTGCTGTTTCTGAACCACATACCATAAAAGTAACAGGAAGCAGCATATTCCTTCAGTACTGATTTCCAGCAGGCTGTAGATTGGCAGCACTGTAAAACAGCATAATCTCAGAGACTTTGGTTAGGGGGTACCCTGAGCAGGCAGGTGGTAGATCAGACCCTGTTGAGGGTTGAGGGAGCAGATGTTTTTGAGATAGGGTCTCGCTATGAAGTCTAGGCTGGCCTCGAACACTGCCCAGTCTTGCCTCAGCCTCCTGAGTGCTGGATCATAGATGTATGCTGTCAAACCTGCTCTGTAAGGAAGCAGTTTTGGAAGAGCATACTAAGGATGGTGGGAGCATGGCCCCTGGGTCCTGCCTCCTGTGTTTTCATCTCTCTCTCTGCCTTTTCTTGTCATGGTGTCTTCACTGTGTTCTTGGCTTCCTTCTCCCACATGGGAGTGGAGCAACAGCTACTTCCTGGGCTGTGAGAGTGTAGAGGGTAGCAGGTGCTTAGGGTTGGCCTGTGCTCAGTAGAGCTTCCTGAGGGAAGCATGTAAGTATGGGAATGATCAGTGTTGCCATTTATGATATACAATGACTGTCTACAAATGTCATCCCTGACTATGAAAAATATGCCAGCTGGTGTTAATTTGACTTAGGGGTTAGCTACTTGGTCATTCCCGGTTAAAAACTTTGTATGTGTTTCCAAATCACCTTGTCTTGAGGACTGAAGCAGATGGGTGTCCTTTTTGTCTTTTGCAGACTGCTCTAGCTCTGGCCATTGCTCAGGAGCTGGGGAGTAAGGTCCCTTTCTGCCCAATGGTGGGCAGCGAGGTTTACTCGACGGAGATCAAGAAGACCGAGGTGCTAATGGAGAACTTCCGCAGAGCCATCGGTGGGTACTGTAGGTGTGGAGAAGGTTCCTGCTGTGTCCTGGGGAAACACCCTTGAAGATGTATTGTTGCCCTGCACCATTGCCATTGACTTAGCAAACAGGACAACCAAACCACAGCTTTTTGAATTGAGGTGCTGTGGCATTGGAATGAATGTGTACCCCAGTTATGGGGCTGGGCTTCTTGATGTGGTTAGACGTTGGTTTGGCTTGGGGTGTGGCTGAGGGCTAAAGCATGTACTTAGCATATACAGGCCTTGTGTTTCTGCCCAGCAAGTCTTTCCCCCATGTGGCTGTAAAGTGGTCTTTTAAGAACAAGTCTGATTTCTCTGGCAGCTCTCCTCTGCTTTGAGAAGGGTGGGACTGCCACTGAGAAGGATGTGACTGTAGCCAGCACTGTCATGTACCAGGCTGCCAGAATGCTGTGGTGTTCTGTAGCAAGCCAGGTGAGGTGTCCTCTTCAAAGGGCCAGAGCCTTGTGCCTATGGTGTGCCTCCCTGGGCCTGGGGCTTCCAGTGTGGTGCCAGGCTTTTGCTCCCTTAACAGAGGATATAGGTCTGCATTTGCTTGTGGAGAAATGGAGGCTGGTATGTCTCAGCTACTCCAGAGACTTAGGCAAGAGGATTATCATTTTTAGGTCAGGCTGGACAGCTTAGTGAAGCTTTGCCTCAAAATAAAAGCACTAGGGGTATTGCTCTGGTAGAGTACCCTGGGTTTGATCCTCCATGCTGGTGAGAAGGAAAAAGAGAAAATATGGAAGAAAGAAAGTAAATGAGCCTCAGAAAGTTAAAGAACTTGTTAGTGACCTGGGTGGTAAATAGCATTCCTGTCTGGTTCCTCCGCTCCAAATATTGAAGATTTGCAGTGAGGAGAGAATTATCATTCTTGCAGCCACTCCCCGCTGCTGGTCTAATGCTGAGCAAATCTTAACTTCCCTCAGCTCTGCTAATAAAAATAATTAGTTCCTTAACTGTTGTGTGATAGTCCTTTTGTTAAGATGGAAATTTAGTGTTTTGTGTTCTTCAGTTTTTGCTTTTCAAAACAAGGCAGCCAGGAAACATCATGCCTGTCTCCGGTCATGTGTGCATGGGTCTGTAGGGTGTACTGTGGGCTCATAGTTGCAAACACCTGCACCATTACAGTCCCTTACCAAGGCTGGCATTCAGAAGATGGACACGTCCTAAGAAATGCTGTGGAAATGACGAAAAGGAAAGAGTATAGTCTTGCTTAGGCTTTGGAAAATCAGCTGGAGAGGCCTGGTGCCCATGGGGACTGGCCTCTGTTTGACAAGATGTCCTGTGCTGGAGCCAGGCAGGAGAGTGAGGGTAGACTGAGGACAGCGTGAACAGGTGTTGGCAGCAGTGTGGTCTGGGGTGGTGACAGTAGAGGTGCTTCTGGATCTCTAAGAGAGATAAGACTTAGAGCTGCCAGGATTTACATGAAAGGTTAGGTGTGGGGATGGAAGTGAGAAGAGCCAGGGAGACCCTAGGCTGGGCTGCTTTGGGAGATGGGAAAACATGGGAAGGAGTAGTGGCTGCTGAGGTGCAGGGGGCTGGGTTTGTTTTTCTGTAACTCTAGTTCCTGGTGCTACATGGATGTAACTTTGTACACCCAGGTGTGTACCTTTTACACTTGTTCTAAATGGAGTCACACTTTGTGTGTTTGTGTTTGGCTTTTTAATAAAGTATACAGGTTTTCCTGCATAGAGAAGCAGGCAGACTGAAGCAGAAAAGCCTATGCAGAAGATTGTGTGCAGTGACAAACATGCCTTCTGAGCCTGTGTGTATCTTGTAAATTGGGAATGAGCTGTCAGTCTGTGTGTACTGGGCAGTGTCACATGTCCCACCTCTGTCCTCTGGAGGGCGTGCTCCAGGGCCCCACAGGTGTGGCCCAGCAGGTACCCTCTCTCCCTCTCTACCAGCCCAGTGCTCCAGTCACCCTTTATCTCTCCACCAGATTCCCATGAGCATTGGATGCTGTGTTTCCATTTCTTGTTCACTGTTTTATGGTGCAGGGGTTGGATCCCAGGCCACATGTGTGTGAGACTGCTGCTGTGACCAGAGACAACAAACTGACCATACTAGGTTGTTCTTTGTTTCTTTTATTTTTTGAGACAGGGTCCTACTATGCAGTTTAGACTGGCCTTGAGGAGGACTGACTTGGCTATCTGGATATTTTTAAATACCATTTTGTAGCCCAGGCTGGTCTCAAACTCACATTGATTCTCTTGCCTCAGCCTCCTGAGTTCTGGGATTATAGGAGTACACCACTACAGCCGGTTTGTCTATATTAGTAAGAGTAGTGCCATTTTGGATGTGGACTTTCTTTAAAACTGCCAGATCTGTCTGTCTGTCTGTCTGTCTTTCTTTTCGTTTTCTTCTTTTTTTTTTTTTTGGCCGAATCGGGGATTGAACTCAGGCCCTTGTGCTTGCCAGGGAAGTGCTTATTTTCTTTTCTTTCTGCTGAGATGAGAAATTGGTGAGGTGAGGTGGAAAATCAGCTGGAGAGGCCTGATGCCCATGGAGTCTGACCCCTGTTTGACAAGATGCCCTGTACACAGATCTACTAATTAAAATAATCAGTTCCCTAACTGTTGCATGATAGTCTTTTGTTAAGATGGTAGTTTAGTGTTCTTCAATTTTTTCTTTCTCTCTTTTTGCAGTTTTTTCTTTCTCTCTTTTTGCTAGATATTTCTTACTAGAAATACCTTTTATCAGGAAATACGGATTTTGTTTCTCCTACCTGAGAAGCTCAAGCATAGCAAATACCTAAAAAGCACATAAAACATTAGCTAAATATTGACTCAGTTACCATGACGCTCAAAGCCTAGAGCACAGCCAACAGCCTGGTCATAACCTTGTATACCCAGGTGCGGACCTTTTACACTTGTTTTAAATGGAATCACATGGGCGGGGAGATAGCTCAGTAGAATAAGTGCTTGCCTGGCGAGCACAAGGTCTTGAGTTCAATCCCCAGTACCACTAAATGGAATCACACTGTGTGTGTGTGTGTGTTTGTGTTTGGCTTCTTTAATAAAACATTGTGTCTGTTGGCTTCAGCCCACATTATTCTTTATATTCTATTCCTTGGATTCTTACACTTACCTGGAGCAGCAGTAGAGGCAATTGAGACCCGCTGAGGTTTAAAATCAGTACTTGGGAGGCTGAGGGAGAGGGTTTGCAAGTTGAAGGCCAGCCTGGGCTACACAGTGAGAATCTGCCTCAAAAGAAAAAAAAAAAAAAAGAGACAAAAGTTTCAAATCTTACTGAGTGCTTTTCTTGAGGAAGTGGTGTTGCAGTCTGGACCCACAGGTGTGCCACATTCCCAGCTGGCTTTCTGATGTAATTGTGTGCCAGGATTTTTTATCAATCTTGTCATTAAATGATATTAAATGAGCTGTTATGACTGACTTGGCTGTCTGCATATTTTTAAATGGACACACCAATGTATATGCTGCAAAGAAGTGGGACTGGGCAGGACACTGAGGTTGGTGCAGCAGAGAAGCGGAGGATAGTGGCAGCTGCAGAGCCTTCGCCCAGAGCGCCCTCCTCCTCTCTTGTTCGCTCACTCACTGCAGTCTGGATACTTTTTAAAAATTGTTTAGAAACCAATTTTTAGACAGTGATAAAATCTAACAAAACTGGATTGCTTAAAGGTAGCTTAAATGCTTTCTGATGTAAATGACCATGGCATCTGGGCTGCCATTTGCTATTTTGGAGGGAAAGGGATGGTGCAATTCTTTTGATGGCAGCAAAGTGAAGAGAAATTCCTTGATCCCACCACAGTATGAAAGGGCAGCTGCTGACCGCCTTCCACCTCTTGCCTTTGAATTCCTTCGAGGTTGGCAGGGGTGGGAGGAAACAGTGAGCCCACCAGAAATGAAAAGCCAGAAGTCTGTGCTGTTTCCTTGACATGATGAAGGTCCCTGTCAGGGATTTAGAAACCCGAGCCAGCGGATGAAACCTGTGTCATTTGTGTTGTCGTTGCCGGAGATGGCACCAGCTCGGCCCCTTTCCTAGCTAACAGCCAGTTCCATTGTCCTCCAGCGAGTCCCAGCCACTTGTCAGCGCGGAGCAACTTCTAAACAAATATGGGGCTAGTGAGAGATGAGAATGCCTTTCTTCCTGGCCTGAGGCAGTTCATGTCAGATATGAATGAGCATTCCACTGGAAGAATTTATCTCTCTGGGCTGTAAAAGGTTTGATTTTGCTTTGTTTTTTAAGCCCTCCTTTTAAAAGTAATTTTCCAAGTTGGTCACAATCTCCTACTTGGAAAGATTCATGTTGGAAATATGTTTGTCTTGCTTCTCAGAACTAAGGACTTGGTAAAGCAGAAATGAAACCTGTCCTGTCTTTTGGGACTATTCCAAAACCTCCATTTGTAGCTATCAGATGGAGGAAACTTTTCCTCCCCTTGACTATCTGAGCGTCTCTGTCCTGATCAGGTTTCTGGGGGACAGAGGCGCCCACTGCACGATAAGATAACTTGCAGGTGAGTGGGGAGTGCCCGGGAGTGCCTGGCACCCTGTGGGATGTTTCCCTATCAGGAAGAGGCAGCTTAGTGGCGGGACACCAGAACCATGTCAGGAGTAGCTTTTGTCTCCTCACATGTGTAGAACAGAATTCTTCATTATTCTTTAGATAGGGACTTCTCATTCCAGATAGACTTCAGGATCTGCTGGGGAACTGTGAGCCAAGAATGGTGGTAACCTAAGCCTGGAGACTCATGGGGCACGGACTGGTAGTGGCCTCTTAGGTGGGTCTGGAGGTTGAACACTATAGCCAGAGACCAGTGGAGGCCTAGAACAGTGTCCTTAACCAAAGCCACCTGTGTCCCTCCTTTGCCAGGTCCCACAATGTTACTTGTTTCTCTACTTGGTAACCTAGTACAGACATATGGTGCCCAGAGCATGATGGGTAGCCTGGTGGGTTCCCATAAAGTGAGGACACTGAGAACCAGCACCCACTCGAGAGAGTATTATCTGTACCCCTGAGCACCTTTGCGCTCTGGTTACCATCTGCTGTCCCAAATGAGGGGTAGTCTTTATTTATTATTTTAGTGCTGGAGATTGAAGCTGGTTCCTCCTTACTGACCTACATCTCCAACCCTTTTTACATTTTAAAAAATTTGAGGCAGACTTTTGATACACTACCCAGATGGAACTCAGACTTGTGATCCTTCTGCCTCAGCCTGCTGAGCACTGGACTGACATGATATACTGCCACACCTGGCTTTCCATTGTCTTGAGTGGCATAGTGGTTTTAGAGATGCATTTGAATCAAGACATAGGCAGTCGTATACATAGTAGATTGGTTGACATGTGCCTTCAATCTTTTTCCCATTGGAACACAGTATAAATGAGATGGAGACAGACATCTGTGGGCAGGGAAGGGAGTGTAGAGCTGAGTGGCCCTGTGCCAATCAGTAGGGGCAAAGGAGAGCAAGACTGTGGAACAGCCAACTCCTAGAGCCGTGGACTTGGGGTTGGGCCAGGGGGGTTGCCCTGGTTCCACAGCCAGAAGCCAGGTCTGTCAAGGAGCAGGAAAGGATCAGACTTTGCCGCTGAGGTGGAGCTGTGCCCTCAGTGTTACAGGGTTAGCCTGCTGGCCCCATGTACAGTCCTCACTGCTTTGGGGACTCGGGATAGGTGAAGAGTATATTGTCAGAAGTTTCACATGCTATCTCTGGATGTCATCTGCCAGCTTGCCTGCAAGTTTAGGGACCCTCCAGTATACCTCTGTCAGTTCAACCCTTGAAATGCTATGCACAGTGGCATGGCATGGTGTGGTATGCCAGTGAGTGTTTAGATCCTTTGAGATAGATTGAATAGCTGTTAACTCACTTTTGGCTTGGTATAGCCTCAGAGGAAGCCATTTCTGTCCTTGACCTGGACTTAGGGGTTTTGGAGAGGGTATGTACATGTGTGTGTAAGGTGGGTGTGATGCATGTATTCACAGAAGCAGCATTTGGCGACGTGCTTTTGTCTTCCTGTTGAGCACCTTCAGTGACCAGTAGAGCTGCTGTGTTAGGAAGCTCCTATTCCTTGTTTTCTGGCTTTAGGGTCTAATGGAGAGATGAAGGGGTTTATTCCAGTGGGGTCTGATTTTCACTGAGTACTGAGACTGGGGTTTCTGTGTTTCTTGGCCAATTCTCTTGAGCCCTGGAGCTGTGTGGGCCATGAGGAGGTATCTACAGGTGTATTCCTGGGTGTTAGGGTGCCAAGTGACAGTGCTCCCACCCTGTGACTTCATGTGTGCCTGCCACATGCTGCTAGGCCCTAAGCTCTGATGCAGATGGTCAAGGTCACATGTCATGGCATTACTGTGTCCCTGTGCTGTGGGCATGTAGGGTTCCTGGAGGGCAACATGGAGGATGCCCAGTGGACAGGTAAGGGAGCTCCAGAGGGGATGCATTTTACACTGCCCAGGGATTTGGGCAGCAAATACATTGTACAAAGAGTAGAGACCACAGTTCTTAGATAACCAACAGACACATATTAAACAGCTAATGTGGGTGATATTCAGAGTGAGGAGAGACATTTCCTTCAGTTACCATATTTTGATGCACAAACTTAACTACGGTGACAAGTGCTATTGTTCTGCCTTGGGGAACTGCAGAACCACAGTGTAGATAGTGACTGAGGCCCAGTGCCTTTGTCTGGGGATGCAGTGTGCTCAGCCAGAGCCCATGCTGGCCACTGTGGAGTCACTTCTAGGCATGGGTTGTGCTCACTCTTGTCTTCCTGCTCTACTGGTGCTGAGGTGGTGAGTCCCCTGAGTCAAACTCAGGGAGGACGGTGGCCCCTATGATATCACTGACCAGTGGCCTCGCCTGCTGTGGTTAGACTGGGTGTTGCATCTTACCCTCTGAGGTCTGGGACAGTTTTAGAATCATAGTTTTATTGGCTTTGAACCTAGAAAGTTCTTTCAAAAGCTGAAATGAAATTGCTTTTCTGCATTTCTGAATAGCAGCAGCTTCAGTTTGCATTTATGTGTTTATTGCTTTTCTACCTACCGTGATACCCTTGAAGTTGTAGCTGTTTATTTTTGATGTGCCAGGGACCAAAGCCAGGCCTTGCACATGCAAGGAAAGCACTCACTGTTGGATTGCACCTTCTGTGCATTGTTTTTTTTTTTTTTTTTTTTTTTACCCATTTATATTTATTTATATTTTTTCTTGTATTCAGTTTTTTTTTGTTTTTTTTTCTTTTTTTTTTTTTTTTTTTTGTACACTGTTCTTAAGGTCTGTTTGCCTTCTTGTGACATGGAAGTTTTGGGCTAAGGTTGTAAAAGAGCTATTGATGGGTTGTGTGGCCAGGGCTCTGTTGCTTACTGCGGCCCCTGTCTGCCTTCCAGGACTTCGGATAAAAGAAACCAAGGAGGTTTATGAAGGCGAAGTGACGGAGCTTACACCGTGTGAGACTGAGAACCCAATGGGAGGGTATGGCAAGACCATCAGCCATGTGATCATAGGACTCAAGACAGCCAAAGGCACCAAGCAACTGAAGGTGAGTGCTGTCCTGGGCTCCGTCCTCTGGAACCTCTCAGTATGGTATGCTTTTCAGTGGGCAGTGTGCCTTTCAATGGGTGGTATGATCTGTCTATGCCCTGGGTGCCTTGCCTGAGCACTGTAGCTAACAGGACAGTGGGAAGGTTGTATGTGTATGAAGCAGTACCCAGTATAGGCCTCGGACACAGGGGTACTTAATGAAGATAGCTCTTTTTAAAAAATCTTTTATTTATTTAGTACAGGGTCTTGCTATGTAGCTCAGACTTGTAGTGATCCTCCTGTCTCAGCCTCAGTGCTGGAATTACAGGTGTGCATCACCATGCCTGCTTTTGGTGGCCGGCACAGTGGGGCCAGCACAGAATACAGGACTTAGGATTGAACCTAGGTCCTTGTGCTTGCCAGGGAGGTGCTTAGATTGCTGAGCTATCTTCCTAGCTCTTGTGTTTGGGGGTCTTTTTAGAGATAGGGTCTTGCTATGTACTTTGGGCTGGTCTTGTGCTCACTTGTGTAGCCCCCAGGTTGGTCTCAAACTCCAGCGATCCTCCTGTCTCAGCCTCCTGAGTGCTGGGATTACAGGAATGTATCACCATACCTGGTTTCCCCAGGCCAGCATGCCTGGGGTTCCGGGCCTGACTGGGCACCCCTAGGGTTCCAGGGCTGGCATGGCACACGGGGCCGGGAATTGAACTCAGGTCTTTGTGCTTTGCCAGGTAAGTGCTGATGCCTCTGAGCTATCTTCCCAACCCCATGAAGATAGCTCTTTTCTTTGCAGGGAGAGTTACCAAGAATTGAACTCAGTACTTCAAGCTTGCCAGGCAGGTCCTGTGTCACTGAGCTAAATCCTCAGCCCTGAAGATAGCTCTTACTTTGTTAATTTTTGAGATGATGTCTCATTAAGTTGCCAAGACTAGCCTTAAACTTGTGATTCCCCCTGCTTCGGTCTCCTGGCTTACCTTTTGTACTCACTTTGTTATTCATTCACATGTGTATGTTAAAACATTACCTGGCAGTTAAGCCACCAAATTGCCTCTGCCAGCCTGTACCCTGGCTCATCACCACGGCTGGAAGCCCAGGCCTTCCTCTGAGCCGGGGCCTTAGTGCTATGCTCACTGCCCAGAAAGTAGCAGCGAGGTGATGATGGTGGGACACACACACAGACAGCTCCCTCACTATAGATTCTGACTGCAATTGCTTATGTACCAGCATAGAAGCCTGAGTTAGTGCTGTGTGGCGAGATGACACTGCAAAGCTGTTGGGGACCTTACTTAGACACCTGTCCCATCAAACTTCAGGATTTTGACAGCAAGTGTGCAGGAGAACAGCCTGACCTTCAGCTGCAGTCTTGTGGGGATCCTGGCTGTGCTACTCTAGCCATGTGGCGTTAGGCAAGCAACTTCATCCCTAAGTGGTGTACTTCCTTTGATGACTGAGAGTGATGACTACTTACCTCACCATTACCAGGGCGGAATTTATAACTTGGAGTGTAAGCTTTAATGTCATTATGAGAGCTTTTGGTGAGAGGAACAGGATGATGGAGACTGCAGACTGATGGTGACGATGGCGATGATGATAATTAATACTTGACATTATCAGTTTATGTCTCATTTATTCTATGTGCCAGGCCTGTGCTAAGCTTCAGTGAAGATTGCATGTGTTGTCATTTGTAGCTGTGTGTGTAGACGTGTGCATCCCATTCCCTTGTCCACAAGTGAGGGACCAGGACTCCAGAGGTAAAGGTCACCCTGCAGTGGCATAGGTGGTTTGGGGCAGGGCTATCTGTCTGTTAGTTGCCGTGTGACCTCTGGAAGCCATCTGTACTTTCTGGGACTCAGTTTTCTCATCTATAAACTGCAGTAGATTGACCACATAATTTCTCCATCTTTACTCTGCACTGTGATTTTATAGTTCTCCAATTCTGTAAGGTTGTTTCTTGGTCACTGCTTTATGGAGATCATAAAAATGTCACTTGCTCAGAGGGCCGTTTTTCTTCTCCTGTGGGGTCTCTCAGGAGCCTGTTTTGCACACCTCTTTTACATGTCCCCCTTGTCATTCCATTCCCTTCATAGCACATACCATCTTTCAGCCTTTGCCCCTTGAGTCAGTTCATTTGGGAAAATAACCAATACAGAAGTGTTTGAAGCGGGCTGGTGAGATGGCTTAGTGGTCTAAAACACCTACTTGGAACAAGCGTGGTAAAGCACAGGGACCTTGGTTCAATCCCCCAGCACCACATGCCAGCCAGCCCTGCCCCCAGGTAGGCTGAGCTGGCCACACACAGACACAATAATAATAATAAAATTTAAAAAAAAAAAGAAGTGTTTGAAGCACCTGGACTGGTGGCACATGCCTATAATCCCAGCACTTGGGAGGTTGAGGCAGTATTGCCATGAGTTTAAGGCCAGTGTGGACTATTTAGTGATGAGTGCAAGGCTGGCCTAAAACCTAGTGAGACCCTATCTCAAAAACAAAGGCGTGTGGCAAAAAAAAAAAAAGTATACTCATCGGTGCTGTCTAATGTAAGGCTCCAATCCCAGCATGCAGTGCTGGCCCCGTCCCTTGGGTGCGCTGAGATAGCGACTGAGACTAGGTGTGGTGGTGTGTGCCTATATCACAGCGCTTGGGAGGCTGAAAACAGAAGGATCACTACGAGTCCAATCTGTGTAGTGAGACCCTGTAGACCTTATACTAAATACATTTTTTTTTTTAAGGCATAGTTTAAATTTTAGCTGCTTTGTGTAGTTTAAGAAAATAATATAAGGGAGAAAATGAATTTTCCTTATAGAATGAACACTTCTGGGTGCTTTTAGCATATGTACAAGGTATCAGGAGAGAAAGATCCCAAAATGCTCAGTGGGTATTTGAGTTTGTGAGTACGTTCTGCAGCTCAGCAAGGAGACCAGTATTAGTGCCTCACCTACCCTCCCCATGCCTGTTTTGGGGACCTGGGCTTTGTTTCCGCAGCTGCGCAGCCAGCCAGAGGTGGGAGCTGGAGTCTACTGCTGGGGTGGTGGCTTTGGAAACGCTCTGTTGAGACACAATTTTAAGTACAACTTGCCCAGTTAAGTGTGCAGTTTAGGGAATGTTAAATTACTTGCACAGTCATGCACCCATTGCCACAGTCTAATTTTAGAATATTTTCTCCACCCTTGGAAGAGACCTGCTTCCAGTAATAGACATTGCCCATCCCAGCCCTAGCCCTGGGCAACCACTGATGTACTTTCTTTTCTATAGACCAGCCTTTCTGGGGGACATTCAGTAAGTCATACCGTGTGTGTGGTTGTTCTGTGTCTGGCTTCCTTCGCCAGCCCTGGGTTTTACTCATTAATTTTGTTTGGGGCAGAGTCCAAGTGCTTCCTACCACAGCCCTATTATATAATACAGCTCTCCTTGAAGTTTAATATGGAGAGACTTGCGTTAAATGCAGGGTTCTTAGCAAGGACACTGCCCCGGGGCCATGACTCTGGGTGACTGGGAAAACAGCAACCTCTGCTGAGGATGCAGAGGTTCCGGGGCACACTGCCCTTGGACCATGCCCACCTGGGATTACACTTGGTAATGCTGTGTGGATGGGGAGCCAGGGGCACAGAGCCCATTGAGCAACACAAGCCTGCAGCTGTTGCCTGGAGACCATGGCACTGCCAGCAGGTGCTACATTGGGGTTGTGGGGGAGCAGTGACAGGGCTTGCCAGCAGGTACAGCAGGGACCCCTCTAAAGGTAACCAGAGCCTTCTTTTAAACCCCCCCTTTTTTTTTTTTTTTGCGGAACTGGGGGTTGAACTCAGATCCTTGCGCTTGCCAGCCAAACGCTTATCCTACTGAGCCATCTCCCCGGCCCTTAAAACCCTTTGTTAGGGCCAGTGAGATAGCTCAGCAGTCTAAAATGCCTGCTTAGGCAAGTTTAGGCAAGTGCAGGGACTGAAGTTTGATCCCCATACCACATGCTGCACCTAGGATAGGCTGAGCCGGCCACAAAAATTAAATAAATAAATAAACCCTTTGTTAGTTTGGTGTGGTGGCACACACCTGTAATTGTAATTCTTTGAGAAGCTGAGGCAGGAGGTTTATAAGTTCAAGCTCAGCCTGGGCAACTTAGCAGTTGAGTGGCAACATGTTGTAAAAAGAAAAGAGGGCTAGGAAGTTAGTGTGGAGGCCCTGGGTTCGATCCCCATCACTATAGCACAGTAAATTCAGAAAACCCTTCTGCTGGTTTACGGCGTCTCAGGTAGTGGGAGGAGGAAAGCAGTATTCCTGGGCCTCTCCTACCTGTCCATCTGCTCAGCTCCCCTTCTCCTCAGGCCTTCCTGATGCGGAGACATGCGCTCCACACAGGTACCGGCTGCCAGGCTGTCACGGAAAGCTCCCCAGAAGGGGCCAGAAGGAAATGGAGTGTACACCACAGCTCCCTGAGCCCTCCTCGTTCTGTTTCAGCTGGACCCCAGCATCTTTGAAAGTTTGCAGAAAGAGCGAGTGGAGGCTGGAGATGTAATATACATTGAAGCCAACAGTGGTGCTGTGAAGGTAAGGCTGTTCTGGCCAGCACCCAGCTGCCGTGTCTGCAGCAGGAGCCCAGGGGTCTTTGGGCTGGGAGCGGGCATACGGATGTGCATTGGTGCTGGGTGGAGTGAGGCTCAGCAGCTGTCCCCTCTGCAGAATAAACTTTGCTTCCCTTTGTCTTCATCCGTTAACCTTCTCACGATGAACAGTCTGTTAGAAAACCCCGAAAGCCTGCTTAGAGGGGGAGTACATGGTGAGAAACCAAAACAACTTTAGTCATTTTCAAATTGAAACGTGCAGTGCATTTAATCTCCCTTTTATCGCTGTGGTGTTCCCTTCCCCGAGATCTATGCATGTGGGGAGGAACGCTACGCTAGCTGACACCTCTCTCTATCTGATCCCCTGCGTCCTTACAGTTCGCTCACTGTTTAATGGATGAGCATAATACTTCATATCATACGCTAAATCATCCACCTACAAAGCAGTCTGAGCAGCTCCCTCTGTCTCCAGTTAATCTGGATTTGCCCTTTATCGAGAATTGCATACGGTTAAAAGAAAGAGGGGAGAGGTTCTTGGAGAAGGTATCAGGTGTTTCTCAACTGGGGTTTAGGAGCCCGCTGATGAGCAGATAACTGGCTCCTGGCAGCAGAGGCAAGGGGGCATATTTGGAGTTTGTTAAGGAGGCTGCTGGGAACCGAGACCTTTATCTCACTTAGCGCTATGCCATCTGGGGACAGTGGAAGCGCACGGGTGCTTGTGTTCCTTTCTGCAGAGGCAAGGCAGGTGTGACACCTACGCCACAGAATTTGACCTTGAGGCTGAAGAATATGTGCCCTTGCCAAAAGGGGATGTGCACAAGAAGAAGGAAATCATCCAGGATGTGACCTTGCACGACTTGGACGTGGCCAATGCACGGCCCCAGGTATGCATGCTCATTTGATCCCTGCCTGGTTGACTGGCACTTGGGGCTTTTGTGTGTGGGCCATGAAGTTCTAGGAATGAACTGTCAGGGTCTTGATGCCACTTTGGTGGCAAGCAAGCCTTTTCTGTCTGTGATGTTCAGCAATTAACATCACCACGAGTCACGCAGGGCTCCTTTGTTCCAATTCAAATGCACGAGTCAGATGATTTCATGTACATTATTCTGTCCCAGCCAAGCCTCTGGCCCCAGCTCACCAGCCAGCGGCCTTGTGGCTTCTCTCCAACAGTGGGCTTGGGGCTGGCAGCTCTGAGTGTTCCTGGCAGAAAGTAGGAGTGTTCTTGGATTTACAGGATTTCAGAAAGCCTAACAGTTGCATCTGACTCTACTGAGCAAAATCCCTACATTTTTGGTTTTGAGCTAGCACTGTTGTATGTACCTCTAGACAAGAGGTGAATACTTAGGGCCAGTGAGATAGCTCAGTGGACTAAGCACCTGCTTTGGCAAGTGCAGGACCAGGGTTTGATCCCCGGTTCCGCATGCTGCACTGACCCTGCCCCCAGCTGTGCTGAGCCTGTGACTGAGTTCGGACGTGGTGGTACATGCCTGTAATCCCAGCACCAGGGATGCTGAAAATAGGAGGATCACTATTAGTCAGAGCTGCATAATGAGACCTATATCAAATACATAAATGAGGGGGAAGGGAGGTGAACATTTACACTTTGCCAATAAAATGTAGGAAAGTATGTGTTGCCTGGGATAGTTCTGGGAAATACGTGATTAAAAGCCGCAGAGTGTAACTGCTCCCTGCTAGTGGCCTTTCACTTTGATTTCCCTTTTACCCTAGGAGGCCATCCCTTCCCTTTCAGGGAGGGGTTGATGCTGTGATTTGAAATCTGATGCTTGGCAAAATTAAAAAAATTAAAGAGGCCAGGGAGATGGCTCAGTAGAATAAGTGCTTGCCTGGCAAGCACAAGGGCCTGAGTTCAATCCCCAGAGCTGCCAAAAAAAAAAAAAAAAAAAAGAAATCTGATGCTTGGGATCTCCCAGCTGAGCCTAGAGGCTTTGGAGCTAGGATGGGGAAGCCAGGAACCCTGTTACTAACCATATGGCTGATTCTCACTTTGTCTCTGGGCTTTCTGGGATTTGAGGCTCGGTGATCTTGCGCTGCTTCCCAGAGGACAGAGCTGTTTTGGGGGTCAGGTGTGAAGATCCAAAAAACATTTGCTTCCTTAGCTGTTGAGCGTTTAGTGAGCCACCTCTGCTTCCCGGGGCCTGTGACTCCCAGATGATCCCTACTGTAGGAGCTGGCAGGACAAAGGTGGATAATGAGATGGTCCTGAGGGCAGCCATCCAGCAGGGACCCAAGGCTAAGCTTAGGAGAGGAAGTGTGGGGACAGAATTGCAATGGGGCTTCACACTGACTCTTGACAGTTCATTAGTCCCCAAAGGAGTGGGGACATTGGGTGGGGATATGGATGCAGAGGGCATTGGGCCTGACTATTAGCAAGGACTAGGGTTTCCCAGGAAAGGGGGTGGCATTGCTGCAGCTGGATTGGAATATGCAAAGTCCCTAAATGATAACAAAGCTCGTGGGGGTCCAGGGAAGTGTTCGGAGACCTGTGTAGCTAATGAAGTAGAAGGATTAGGAGAGAGCTGGCTTCTGCTTCCCATGTGATACATTCGTATTATAGTCTTGGCATTGCTAAACATTTCCCTGAATCTAGAGGTTCCTCAAGTCTCTCAGGGGAGGCATGTTGGTGTCTACACTGCAGGATCTGTGTGGCATCGACATTAGGGACTTGAGGGAGTGAAGTTGACTCCTGTCTTCTTTCTGCAGGGTGGCCAGGACATCCTGTCTATGATGGGACAGCTGATGAAGCCAAAGAAGACAGAAATCACAGGTGGGGCAGATGGTGTGGCTGTGAACTTGAAGCAGGGCTGGCTGGGCAGGTGGTGATGGGCAGACCAGGTTCCTGGATGCTGTGGTACCCTGACATAGCCCATGCCCCTCGAAGCACCTTCTTCCCAGAGTTCGAGCCATCAGCTGTGGTGTTTTCTAGCCCCTCTGCCATCCTATTTTCTAGTCCCTTTGAGATCCCGACATGTGGTTTTCCCCTTCCTGCCCGCTCTGCCACCTGCCAGCTTCTGGGCTCTTCCTGGCTCCAAAGTAAAGGCCTGCTCTAGGTTGGGCCTTCCTAACCCTGTTCTCTTCCCAGCCTTAAATCCTCTTCTGTTTCATTACCACCTGAAGCTTTGTCACCTTAAAATGTTGGCTGTAGGGCTGGGGAGATGGCTCAGTAGAATAACCACTTGCCTGGCAAACACAAGGGCCTGAGTTCAATCCCAGTTCCGCAAAAAAAAAAAAAAAAAAATGTTGGCTGAACATTAAAGCAGCTGTTACCTTGGGACTGTAGCTGGCAAATAGGCAAGGACCTTTTGTGGCTGTCTTCTGCGTAGGGGAGTGTGTGTCCTGTGACACTCCCTGCCCAGGCCTGGCGGAAGCTGCTGCATCGGGTCTTCCTGTTGTGTCTTTGTGAATAGCACAGGAGTTGGTTTAGAAAATGAGGACTGTGACCTGAAATGGGTTATGTAACTTTTGAGAGCCTCAGTCCTCTTTTCTTTAGAGCCTTTGGCCCTCCAGGCCTCTTCCCCAGAGGATTCTGTCTACACTTGATTGAAAGTTAATTAACCTGGGCTTTGTTACACAGGGCTAAGGCACCCACTCATCACTGACAGGAGGAACAGGGAAATTTGCATATGAAAACTCACTTCTTGGGGGCCCCCACCTTGGTGGCAGGATCTGGAGGAGCAAGATGGGTGCTGGGAGATAATACAGCACAGTAAGGAGTGTGACAAGCCAGGTGCTTCGAGGCTGGGCAGTGGAATGGCTGGAAGGCTGTCCTGTACAGAACCATTTTGTCTAAGCCTATTGCAGACTTAAGCAAACTTGTTTTCAGGGAAGGCTGCCAACGCTGTGACCATTAGGTAGGGTATTTTTTTATTTTCAGATGGTGACACTTAAAGCCTGGAGTGGGGACAGACCCTGCCCAGGGCCACCTAGTTAGTGGGAACCCAAGCTGCAGGGTTTGGCTTGGACAGGGGATGGGAGGGGGAAAAACACTTTTTCCTACTAGGGCTGACCTTGCCTACCTTATCATCTCACAGACAAACTTCGAGGCGAAATCAACAAGGTGGTGAACAAGTACATCGACCAGGGCATTGCTGAGCTAGTCCCTGGCGTGCTGTTTGTTGATGAGGTCCACATGCTGGACATTGAGTGCTTCACCTACCTGCACCGAGCTCTGGAGTCATCCATTGCTCCCATTGTCATCTTTGCATCCAACCGTGGTAACTGTGTCATCAGGTGGGTGGCTACTTCTTCCTGCCCTGGCTCCTGGGTTCCTTGGGCCCTTTCTTTAGCCCCCTATGTCGCAAGTTTGGATGGGGTGGCTTTCGAGAAGACGTGTGCCACAGCGCCTAATCCTCAACCTTATTTCAGTGTGGTCACTGGGAGAGCGGCCACCTCGGACCAGAGTGTCTCAGGGCCCCAGGGTGATAGTGAGGTGTTAGGTTTTGGTACTGCACTGGTTGTGCAAAGGTGAGACCAGATGAGGGGGCCGCTCATAATTCCCGTGCGTCAGACTCATTTTCAGATGAGGAAACTCAGTGCCGAAGTACTTTGTTCCTTGTCATTAAGATGAGAACAGGGTCTTTGTGATAACCCCAGACCTTCCCTGAGCCACACTGGTGGCTTCCTGCAGCCCACCTTGGTGACTGTCCTTGACCCTTGATGGCGAGTGCACCTGCTGGCTCAGCCCCAGAGCTTTGGCTGTGGACGTCCTTTTGTTCCTGTTTCTCCTAAGTGCTTTCTAGGCTCCCAATTCCCCATCTCCCATCTGTCAAGGCCTGGTGTCCGTGCTTCTGGAACCTGATACTTTCACTGCTCATTGGGTTTTTGTGAACTTGGGAAGACCTGAGTGCTGGGGCTCTGCAAGGTCTGGGCAGTAAGGGCCTCTTTTTTTTTCTTTTGAGATGGTCTCACCATGCAGTTCGGGCTAGCCTTAAACTCACTTTGTATCCCAGGCTGGCCTCGGACTCAGTGATCCTCCTGCCTCAGCCTTCTGAGTGCTGGGATTATAGGTATGCACCACCATGCATATTGAGGCAGGGCCTCTTTGAAAACCTCCCCCAGAGCAGGGTGAAGATGAGGACCCTGCTACCAACAAGTATCTCAGGATAGCTAGAGCCAGAGTTGCTGACTGCCCAGGTTGTCTCTGCTGAGGGGTTGTATCTAAGAATGTCATGGGCTCTTGATAGATACATTGTCCACAGCCCAGGGACTGCTAGCTCAGGTGGCCCACTGTGGACTGACTTCTGCAGGTCCCCCCAGGACTGCTCCGACTGGCAGTTGAGATCTGAGGGCTCAATCTGGGTGCTTGTGGCATCCCCCCCAGCCCCCCCGGTATTTCTTGAGGAAGCAGCTTGTGCCAGGTGACTGGGACCTGTAGGGCTGCCTGGCCTGGGTCCGACCTGGCTCCCGTGTGGCAACTTGGCTGGTGAAGGTCTCAGCCTGGACATGTGGTGCCCTCTGCTGGTGGGCTATTACTTACAGCTCCCCTACAACCTGGTAGATGAGCTGGCCCTGCAGGCACCTTGTCCCTGCCCAGGACAAGAGGCACAGGAAAGTGGCTTAGTCTGAGAACATGGCCAGTGGAGACAAAGGTCTAGTCAGCCTTGGAGCTCTAGAAAAGGATCTTGGTACCAAGTCCTCGTGGAAACTCCATCTTGGTATTGATAGTGACAGAACACAGTTGTGGTGAAAGTGCCTGCCAACATTACGGATAGTATCCCGTGTGTCCTGGGCACCTAGACTATGAGAAGGGACAGAGGCAGCCAGAAGATGCCACACACAGTCCAGGCTCTTGGTAAGACCTGGGTGGGCTGTGCAGTAACAGAATTTCTGGAACATTCATAGATTTGAGCAGCACCTGACATGGTGCCACTGGGGCCAGCCTGCCCCTAGGTCAGTGTCTGACCCCCAGAGCTTGACAGTGAAGTGACCCTTCCTGATGACCTCCAGGACATCTCCACAGGCCTCACGGTGTGTAACACCCCACAGGCAGTGGGGTCATGTCCAGGTGACACGCTGTAGTCCCAGTTAGCGAGCGAGGTCCAGCTGGGAAGTGATGCTGTGTAGAGGTGGCTTCAGGGAATGCTGGGTGCTGTGTGCAGCCATCACAGAGCTTGACAGCTCAG